ATATATATATATATATATATATATATATATATATATATATATATCCTTTCTTACTTCCTCAAATAGAGAACTTTTACTAACTGACTTTTGCTTCTTTTTTTTAAACTGACTCTTTTATTTAATTTCCCTCTGGGATTAATAAAGTATTTTTGAACTGAAATGGATGTATTTGAATGTATATGAATGTTTCTGTTCAGTGCCCTGAAATTACTTCAGTTGTGACTTGGCACTACTGTATGTAAATAAACTGAATTGAATTGAGGGAAGTTATGGCATACTTGACCAAAAAATGTATTTTTGATACATTTTTAGGAAATAAGATATATGTTTTATAAACTTCTACTTACAACTGTCATTTGCAATATTTGTTACCTTGAAATATACAGTTCTATGTGTGTTTTGTTTTAGAAGCAACAATGTTCAGTCTGGTTCTGGAGCCACTAACGGTGACAAAACAACAAAGGAAATTGTTTAAGTGCACTGGTTTTAGTTGTACATCTAACGTGTTTAATTTAGACTCAAACCTAAAGTTTCAACATCCTGGTTGTCATAGACTTATTTAAAACTTGCTTTCATTTAAGAACACTGAGGGTCTAATGAAAATCATCAGGGACCACTTCGGGCCCTTGAACCACATGTTGTTTTCTGTAGCAGTTCCCAAATTTGGGGTTGGAGCCTCTTTGGGTCATGAAACTCCAAGAGTTTTTTTGTTTTTTTGAAGAATCTCAAATATCTGTTTTAATATTAAAATAATAGTTTGTGGCTTATTTTCACCAAATACAAAGAATAAAAACTGAAGTCACAAGTTACTAAATTAATATGGAGGTTGTTAAGATGCTGTTGTCTCTAAGCGCTTGTTAATAAGATCATTAGTAATGTTTGGGTAGTTAATCCAGCTCAGGTCACAGACTTTTGTTGTTTACACTTTATTGGTTGGAAGTAAAATGTTTAGCCTGAGAACACTGGTCTAAAGTTTTTCAAATAAAAATTCAAGAATTAAAATGTTGATGACCAAAACATTCAAATCAAAGAAAGTCTTAAAATCAATGTTTAGTGTAGTACATGAACCAAATGTGAACATCATGACTATGACCATATACAGCTTTTTACACCACTGACCACAGGGATGGAAAGTTGACTGACACACACACACACATAATTATTTGGGGACGTTTATCGAACAAATTAAAATGAGTATTAAACGTCTTACTTGTCCTCCTTAGCGTAGATGTTGAGCCCCAGAGTGTCGACTCCCAGCCACAGGTCTGTGCCCTTCTTGTTCTTGATCTCAAAATAGTTGACGCCAAACATCTCGAGGTCTTGAGCAATCTTCAGGTATTCAATCATGGCCTCTTCCCTGATCAAATTAGTGCAGAACTTCATTGGAACGTGGACATTCAGTAGATAACATATTGACCTGTGTGCTTATTAATGTTCTGCAAGTTTTAGATGCTGAGTTTTAAAATGCAATTGTTTATCATCATTCACTCATACCTGCATGCAGAAAATTTAAATGCTGTGCACTAATCATGGTGTTACAGAAAAACAACAAACCATATAAAAAAAAAAAGGGATTTGGATTCTGTGGTACCAGCACTGTATTATTATGATTTTAATTTATTGTGAATTTCAATCATCCAAAAGTCCAAAACAACCAGTTCAGTGTCACAAGAAAAAAAACTGTAAAAAATCCTGACTATTAAATATTTTAATTAAAAAATAAGGGTACCACTTTACAATAAGGCTCCCCTTATAGATGGTTAATAAATAGTTTATAGATAAGTTATTAATTCCTCTATAAACACTTTACAAATATTAATAATTGTTTATTATGCATTAATTAAGGATGACAGAGACAAAACTGACCAGTTTCTTGAGCCAAATCTGTTCACCTATATATTTCATCCAAAGTATATTAAATATTTCAGACTAAGTTACTACCTTGTGAGCGCAATAAACATTTGTAAACTTATTTTTTTTAAGGATATAATATTAGTTGTAGATGCTTATAATGCAGTGATAAAGTACAATATTATATGCCAAATACATATGTTTACAAATGCTTATTGTGCTTACAAGGTAAGTCTGAACTGTTTAATACAACAACTCTAGATGAAATGAACAGATTTGTCTCACTATTTGGCAAGAAACTGGTCAGTTTAGTCTCTGTCACCATTAATTAATGCATAATGAACAATTATTAATGATTTATGAAGTGTTTATAGAGGAATTAATAATGCATCTATAAACTATTTATTAGCATGTGTAAGGGGAGCCTGATGTGTTCAGTTTTAAAATACAAATGTGAGCACAACCCTTGATTATGCGCCTCATGGTGTCAGTCAGCCTTACTTCAGCATGGATCGGTGCTCCTCGTGCCAGACCTGGATCCTCTCCTCCCACTGCTCCTTCGACAGCTTGTGTTGATCCAGAACTCTGAAAGGAGAGACAAGTTGTCAGGAAGCCATGCTGAAAACCTGAACAGTCTGTGTGTACACACACTAAGCTAAATTCAACACATGCTGCACATTTTGTTTAGATTATATTTAGTTCAGCAGCCATGACTCTTTATATTTGTTGACGGTGAGTTAAATAAGCCATTCAAGGAAATATGTTGTTGGATATACTCAGTTTGATCAATCTAAATCTTAACATGAAATGCAATAATTTAGTTTTTTTTTTTTGTTTTGTTTACAAAGTAACACATATGAAGAGTGCAGATTTTTGTGTGTGCTCAGCCTCTTGAGAAAAACAACATTTCTGTTTTGATGTAGATTTATGTCTAATTTTAGATCTTTAAGTCCCGTTAAATATTTTGGACAAATTTCTGTAAAAAAATAAATTTAATATAATAATTCCAGTAGTTTTTATTTATTTGTTTGTTTTTCTTTCCTCCTTTTGATGTAGAGATCTCACACATTTATTATTTTCTGGTAAGATGAACTTTAGGCCAACTTAAAATATAAGTGTAAAAACAATGTCCTACATACAATATTTACTGAAAAATATGCAAATCTTTATCCAAAATGTAACAAAAATATTGGTTGTCCTCAGACTGGTTCAGTGAGTAGTAAGCGGCCATTTTGTCTATAACATTTGATTGTTATGCACTGATGATCGATTGTTTTAGACTGATGGTCCTCCATATTGCATGTGTAAAGCCAGTTTCTGGGAACTCCACAGCAGACTGGTTTGAACCACGTCAACAAGCTTCTACTTAATACGACAGATCCTGTTGGCAGGCCTCACACTGATGAAGTCTTTCAGATGAAAGACGAAACGTTTTCTTCCAAAACAGAAACTGTCCAGATGACACGATTTAACTTTTTTCTTTTCCATAACAAAAATATGTTTCAATATGGTCAATATGCAGAAATGGGGAAAATTCTAGGATTTTATGCACAGGGATGAAATAATCTCAATCTAACCCCAAGTGGGGGAGTGGTGGCGCGGAGGTTAGAGAAGGTGGGCCTGCGATTGGACGGTTGCAGGTTCAACTCCCTGGACCGACAACATCAAAATGTGGGTGAAAAAGGTGAATTGCTCACACCTGCCTCCACCCTCATTTGCCCCACTTTTGGCCCTTGAGCAAGGCTGTTAACCTCCCCATCTGCTCCCAAGCAGGTCTCTCTTGTAAATCAGTCCTCATGACTTAGTGAGACAACCTGTACAAATAAAGGTTACATAAAATAAAATGAAGTGAACAAAACACAACAGATTCCTCCGTGCTATAATTAAACAAACATGGAGCCAAAATGAGAAAAGCTGTTGATAAGCTGTGTTTGGTTTTCACTACGTAGCCACTTTGCATTATGGGTAAACATCTCTACTCAGGTTTCTTCTGTTCAAAGAGGTCTTGTGATGCATTCAGATGAAGACAAAGTTCTTCCATGAAGTTTACTTTTGCAACCATTCGAAACAAGCCATACTTGTTCGTTGTTTTTCTAATTCCTTCGTGAACTTTAACCTTTAACCTGCTGACTGAAACCTGTAGAGTCTGAGATGGAGTTCTAGTTTTTTCTCAGAGTGTCTGAGTTTGGGGTGAATCACTTGGAACATCCAATCCCATGAAGATTAGCGCCTGCTTTTCTCCACTTGTTAATAATTAATAGTTAATTAATAGTTAATTAATAGTTAATAGTTCTCTTTGTAGAATGGTGAACTCCAAATCATTTGGAAATCACTGTTAACCCTTCCCAGATTTATGGACAGCAACACTTCTTAAGGTCATTGCTGATGTCTTTCCATCTTGGCATTGTGTTGTCACGCATCTGTATGCTCCAGAGCAACGACTGACACGACTCCTGATTTTATAGACGAGCTCACGCTGGTGGTGATCAGTTGAACAAAACATTTGATCTGTAGCACCTGGCTGCTACTTTTCCTTCTTAGTTTCATTTTTGTTTAATACATAATGTCATGGGGGAATCTGTGGTGTGCTCTTATTTGTTGTAGTTTAGAATTTTTCAGTGAAATAATAAAAATAAATCATTTTCACCAACACATCTTCAGTTTTCTGCGGCATAAAAGTGCTCAAGAGTAAAAACTTGAAACTGCCTGATTGACAGGTGATCCGTGCGGCTCAGCTCACCTTTTGGGGAGAAGACGCTCAGAGGACAGGTAAGTCGGGCCGTGCACGGACTTGTCGTACTCTCCAAATTTTGCTTGGACGGCGTAGGAGGCTAGCAGCACGGCGGACTCTGGAGGGCAGTAGACCTCGTCTGACAGAATGTCCTCCTTCACTTGCAGGAAAAAGAGCCTCCTGGTGATGTCCTGGATCAGCTCCTCGTCCACGTCCTCAGGATAAAACTTGACCCTGAGCTTGAGCTGTAGGGGAGTCTCTTTCTTTATATCCTGGGACAACACCTATATGAGAAAAGCACAGATTAATGATTAAAAATGTGCAAGAGGACCACAGTGAGACAGACTTACTGGATCTAAACCACATTAACAGGAGATTGTGGTGAAAAGTTTAAAATAAAACATGCATGTTAGGCTGATTGGTAACTCTAAATATAGGTGTGAGTGAGAGTGAATGGTTGTCTCGTTTGTCTTTATGTGTCCCTGTGATGGACTGGAGACCTGTCCAGGGTGTCCCCTGACTCTTAAACAATATGAGCACCGGTGACCCCCAGAAAGGAAGAAGTGGGTAAAAGATAATGGATGGATGTATTGAAAAATAATTCAGAGTAATTATATAGCTCCAATTAATAACAAAAGTATCTCAGGCACGAAATCCATCTTTAACTATTGGAATGTATTCAAAAAGTCAACAAAGTCCATGCTCAATAATCCAGGTATACAATCCAACATTTTTCAGTCAGGTCATCTGGACAGTTTCTTTTTTTTTTTGTGCCGAAACGTTTCACCTTCCATCCAGAAGGCTTCATCAGTCAAGGAAACACACAACACAAAACTGATTCTTCCCCCAACAGCTTACTCCAAAGTGGAACAAACCAGTTATGTTGGTGCTAAGATGGTCTCTTTGACATGCCCCCTCTTCCGGTGCTGGCCCTCTTCCTCGTCAACAGTCATGTCAAACTGGTTCAAAACCAACAAAGTACAAAGTGCAAGAAAGTGCTAAATAGATTTGATTGTCCTCAATATGCACTCAGACCACCCTTGTAGGTGGTCTGTACCTCTTTTATCCACATATACGTATGTAGTAGTCTGAACACAATCCCCTCACAAGCACCAGGGCGTCAAGTTTTCTCTGCTGCTGGTTGGTTAAAGATAATTTAGTTTTGAGTATGACTTTTTTATTTACCAAAAGCTTTAACAAGCTGTTTATCCAGTTTTTTTATTTATTTAAACAAACGTTAGTTTGTTGAAATTTTATTAACTAGGGTGGAATCAAAAGACGGTTGTATGGGGTTGGACCCAGATGCAGGTAGACACAAAGGCACAAGGAAAATAAAAATATATATATTTATTAAGTAACTAAATAAAAACCAAAAACTAGCATGGCAGCAAAACTTACAAAATACTGAAGCGCATAAGGAGGACCGAGACGTCTGGCTGGTAGCCAAGATGATGAACGTCTGTTCTGGTGGCGACCAGATATCTTAAATAAGACAGTGGGTGAGTGGAAAGTGGCAGCACCTGCTGGGTGATTACTGACTGGAAACAGGTGTCAGTGATAAACTGACTGAAGAACAGCTGAGGAGGCTGACTGAGGGTGCACATGAGAAAGGCAGGGGACACCCTGGACAGGTCTCCAGTCCATCACAGGGACACATAGAGACAAATGAGACAACCATTCTCTCTCTCACTCACACCTAGAGACAATTTAGAGTTACCAATCAGCCTAACATGCATGTTTTTGGTCTGTGGGAGGAAACTGGAGTACCCGGAGAAAACCCACGCGTGCACCAAGATGCAACAAAGCTAATATATAAAATTGATGCATAAGATTAAAACATGGAAAAACAAGTTAATAAAAAACAGACTAAAACATAAGTTTTGTCAAATAAACATGTTTTCAGCTTGTTTTTAAATCAGATGTTGGTGTTTCGTACTGAATTAGGGAGCCTGAAAAATAAAAGCTCTTCCTCTTGATGTAGTTGTGATGTTCTAGTGATGTTCCAGTTTGGTCATACGGGACAATTAGCTGCCCCCCAGGTAGAATGGTGTTGCAATTACAATAGTCCAGTCTGCACGCGATGAAGACATGGACCAGTTTTTCAGCATAATCTTGAGTTACTGGTGCTTTATAATTTAAAAGATGTTACAAAAACAGAAAAATGTTATTTTTGAGACTTTTGAGCTCCTTTCCAGTAGTCTTAGATTTGCCGTTTGACCAGTTTTTAAAACGATACCTTTAAAAATATCAGTGCACTTTTATTTTAAGGCCCTTGTTAACTGTATAAAATGCATAAAATATATAATGTCAACATTATTTTGCAAAACAACACACCTTCTTGTCAGGGAGCAGCCATGAGATGAATCCTCTGCTGTCGACAAACTGCAGCCCGAAATACCAAACCTCACGCAGACCGATAGTTTTGGCAACCTGAGAACATGCACAAATAAATAAAGAAATTCTATATAAAATGCATTTCTTTGATTTTAATACCAGGTTAGGGTTAGTTAACCTGAAAAGGTTTTATTTGCAACCAAACCAACACAAGTGAATTAAATAAAAACTAAAGATATTTAAAAGTAATTCACACAACCCACAGCCTTTTGTGACAAATTAAAATAAGAGATTACTGTATTATTACTATTAGTAATCAGAGTATTTGTTAAAGATAACTCCCAGATACTACCACAGCAAAATTCAGCACAATATCTGCAGATCTGACTGAATTCTTGTCATTTTAGTGTTTTCCAAGGTCAAAAGTCTGTGGCAGCCCCTGTAAATAAGGTTGACTTAAAAGTGAATCAGTTGTTGAGATTTATCTGATGATTATGTTCTTAAAATGTAATGCAAATCTGTGTCGGGTTCCATGAAATATTTTGCTAACAGACGGATCTGCTTTCGATCTATTAGCTCAGAATGTGTGTTGAAGTTTAGTCTCGGCTACTACCACATCAGATTTTAGCCAAGTATCTATAAAATCAACTGATTTAACTGTAAATGAGATCGCGAGGCTCAGCGAGACTAACCTGTATAAATACAGGTTCAATTGAAAATATATAGACATTTTTGTTCTCCTAAGCTCAGCAGGCTGCGGTGGCCATCTTGAATCAAGTTGACTCCAAGAGTCAATCAGTTATAAACATGTGCCCTTTGAGTATTTTATGTTTCATTAAAACTGTCCGTTGGGTAAAGTGATATTTTGCGTGTGCTATGGATAAATAAACCCAAAGCTATGAGCAAAAGCATCACTGCCTTCATCTTCAGCCGAGGGCAATAATCATAAAACCTCAGCATCAATAATGTAGTTATAATTAAAAACAGAATGACACAGCTCTGCAGTTTCACAGTGACCATCTGTCTGCAGAACAGAGCACTGTTTTACTCATTTTATACTCATTTGATCATGTTTGTGCCACCGGTGATCCTGTTGTTCACAGGAAACTGTGACTTTGCGCCCTCTGGTTTAAATGTGCTGTGAAGACAGAGACGAGCAGACCTGCTCAAAGAGTTGACTTCCTTTGGTGTTGGGGTGGAAGGAAAACTCCAGCTCTGCGTCCAAAGTCGTGACGCGAACGTTGACCTGCAGTGAAAAAGGTCACAATGTCAAAACTACGCTTTTTATTCCCATCATTTGCTCCCATTTTTTTCTTTAATCAGACATTTTCCAATCCTAACTGGCTTTTTAATCTCACAGGAAAAAAAATACAACAGATATTTCAGAGTGGTTTGTTGAAAGAGTGGCCTTAATGTGGATTTTTGAAATGGATTATTCATAAACCATAATTGCTCACTATCTCATTAGACTTTAGACTACTCTTCCTTGGAGCCACGGGGCTGCACATAAGCAGATAAAAAACAGTTGATGATTGTGACTTGACATTAACGCTCAGACAAGCCCTTTTTGTAGCACTGAAACGCTTATTTGCCAAACAAATCTCCACAAGAAGACATAATCTCACTGTGTTTTATCTGTCGTTACAAACACAACACATGAGGACTGAGCTTACATCCGTTGCTGAACTCTTTTATGAAGTTGTACCAGAGCACACCCTGGGTGTCATAAAGATAAACCTACTGAAACTTGGGCAGTCACCAGAACTAGAACATCCATTTATCAAACAAATCATCAGGTTTCCCAACTGCTTCCATCGTCTATGAGTGTGTTTGAGACAACTTCCACACAGTGTGATGTCCTGATGATGCAGCTCTCAGTCAAACCAGAGTAAATATCAGCTTGATGACTTTATAAAAACAGCCTTATTCTCATATCAGCTGATGTAAAGCACAACCTTATCAGTCTCCTTCACGACAGATGCTGAATTACTTGAGAAACTTTGATATTTAAGATTTAAAGCAGTGATTAAAAGGTTCCTTTGTTTCAGTTTGATCGATTAGCGATGACAAACTAGCAGAATAAATGAGTCACGAGTTGTGGTGAAATGTAGTCTTGACATTATAGTCTCTAAAGGGATTACCGTGATAAATATAATTTTCTGCAGGGCCAATCTGAAGGTCTGCTTATGAAGAAACACTTTTGCAGTAACTCACTCTCAGGAATGCGTGCAGCTTGGGTCAAACTCTACATCTGGTTAATGAGTAAAGACCAAGAAGGATCATTGGCTCTTTTAAAGACTTACACGCACTAAAAAAATACTTCTTTTTTAAATGCAGGAATGAATCTATCTGTTTATAAATGTCTGGCCCTCAAATTATTCTGATTAGTGGTCCTGGAGTATAATTCTTGCATCATAGATCACACAAATAAACATCACAGGTGAGTTTCTGGACATGTTCAAACCAGGAAGAAGGAACTTCATGATATATATTAAAACAGTTATAATCCTACCGTCTTGGGCATCTTGGTTGTGGTGTGTGGACAGAGCTGCGAAGGAGAACGTTTCCGAGGCTGACCGAGGCTGCAGTGGCCGATACCCAGCAGGACCCCCACCTGATAAAGACAGCTCCTCTGCTGTCGCTGGCAAGCTGAAGGGCAGGGCTTGTGTCCTTTGAACTCAATGGCAGATAGCTCACACCGACGTGGGAGGACTGACTTCGTCACTGTTACACCAGAGTGACAGATTTACCTCCGGTGAGGCCTTCACCAGAGCAGGAGCCACAGCTCCACCCAAAGACAATCACCTGTCTCAGCACCTGAGCTGCTGCGACCTTTGATCCGACTATATAGGCCTGGATGTGCTATTTATGTTGCCTGTGTGGAAGTGACATGAGTCATATGTAAAACATAAAAGAAAAAAACATTTAATGTAACAGCGAAGCTAGTTTTGTAATGAAAAGAGGCAAACTCCGAGGAAAACTTAACTACAGCCTGAAAAAGTTGACAAAATATTTACTGAGTGAAGTAAAAATCAAGTGGAGAGATTGCTTTTTCTGCAGAATGACCACTGAAATGTGCTGAAGAAGACAACACTGCATTGCTAAAGCTAAAAGAAGCAGAACCTCAGTGAAACTCTAGTAAAATTCTAACTAAAAGCGCAAAATATAAAAATGCTAAATGAAGAAAAAAACAAGCTCGATGCTAAAAGCAGCTAAGCACTGGCTAAAAATGGCAAATGTTAGGAATTTAAATTACTTTAATCTATTTTTATTGAGAATAGCCACAAATGTGTCACCAACTTTTCAATTTATCTGTTAAAATGTTTAAAACTAAAGTTTAAGATGGCACAGAGTTTGTCACTTATCATGAACAGGTGTCTTTCCCTGCATTTCCACACGTCACACACCACAGTTTTTATTATTTCAGACAAAACAAGACTTGTGAGACACAACTAAAACCACTATTATATGTTTCTTCTTGTCTGATAAATTTGTAATAAAACATTCAATACATAGAAGCTAAGGATCAAAAAAGTATTTCCCAATGTTTAACTCAGATATGTGAGCTTCAGCTGATGCACAAAAAATGGGTAAAAATAAACTATGATTGTAATAGGACTTTGCACTGTCTGCAGTGCTTGTTTCTTGTCTATAACAGGTCTCTAACAGGTCTACAAAGGGTCAATAACAGGTC